CCCCCCCCCCCCCCCACTCTGCTCCACTAGGAGGACCGGACCATGTCTTCTCCTGGGCTTGGAGCAGAGATCTGCAGCCTCGTGTGGTGCCTGGAGGTCTGGTTAAGTTTGGGAAACGTAGTTCTTGTATGCGGTTTGGGACTGGAAGCCTTACCTTAAACCAGTGGTTCCCAAACTTGGCAACTTTAAGACTTGTGGACTTCAACTCCCAGAATTCTCCAGCCAGCTCTGCTCTGCTGGCTGGAGAATTCTGGGAGTTGAAGTCCACAAGTCTTAAAGTTGCCAAGTTTGGGAACCACTGTTGTAAAGGAAAGGTTAATGCATGGAATGTTAAGGAACAGTTAATGCATGGAATAATGCAGGAATCCCTGCATTATTTTTGTACATTTATGGGTTTCAAAGTTACTTCATTCCTTTTAATACTCTACTTCAGTTTTTAAGGAAATTTATCATAAAAATAAATTAGGCATTCTTGAGGGGAGAAGGAGTGCTAAAATTATCTTGCTGAAAGTTGAGGAAGGAGCAAGAGGAATTCATGCTACTTCAAAGAGGACACCCTGTTAAAGCTTGATTAAATATTCCAGGTGGAAGATACTTACCAAAAAGGTCAGGAAAAGGAAAAGGAAGATCCAGATTCGAAACCGGATATTGAAGGAGAGGATAATGCAATTGAAATGTCTGAAGATTTTGAAGGGAAAACATATGATGGGGATCAAGAAAAAGAAGGTATGTGTTCTGCACTATATTTTTCATCTTTCTGACCTGATATAAAGTAACTCTGGAATTTAGCGCACAACTGGGAAGTGATACTAAAGTTTAATAACTTTTTCTTTGAATTTAATAGAACATGCTGATGGCAGGCTTCTCATTCCTGTGTAATATTATTAGGAAAAATTTTTGGTAACACTGAAACACTTTTGAGATTTTTTTTTCTTACTGAAGTTGGAATTTGTTAGAACCAAATGTACCAATACAGAATTAATTTAAAATGTGACCCCCAGTAGTTTCCTGTGACAAAATTAAGCAAATCCAAGCTCTAAACAGAGACTTCCTTCCCTTCTTGTTGATCTCTTTGTATACTTGGAATAAAGATTTTCAGACCAAGAGGACCAGGAATTCAACAGGATTTTGAAATCCACAGATTGTGGTTTTTACACAACAGTGGCAATTTTGTTGGTCTTTTCCAAGTATTTAAGAAAGAAAATATGGTGTATTTTGTAGCTGTTCTAATTAAAAAGCAAAAGTTTTCATTGGAAGATCAAATTAAGTGCAGTGTTTATCATTCCTACTCAGCAATATATTACAATAATGAATGAGTGAACTTTAGCACGCAGGTAGTATGACAAAGCCACAAATTAAAAAAAAATAAGGTTTTTAATATTCTATCAATACTTTAAAGGACTATACATTTAAGATTTTTTAAAATCTTAAATCTCATTCACGTAGACTAACTAAAAAGCGTAAATATTCCCATTGCTGTAGAAATTAATTTTGCCCATGGGATGAGAACTTTCATATATCCCAGTGTAAATGTACTTTATATACAAGAAATTGCCTATACATCAAGTTAAACCATTAGTCCATTTATTCAGTTGAAAACTATATGATCTCCTATTGAACTCCAGTCTGTCTCCAGACCCATAATGCTTCATCTTTATAATTATGGTAGTTCCTTCTTTGAAGATTAACATTGAGCTTTATTTATGTTACCTTGTATAGAAGAGGATGACAAGTCTGATGAAGATGAAGACTTGGATAAGCAGATGGGAAATCTTGGAGATGGAGATGCTGACAAATTGGACGAGAGGCTTTGGGGAGATGATGATGAGGAAGAAGAAGAAGAGGAGGAGGAGGAGGAAGAAGAAGATGGGAAAACAGAAACTGGACCAGGGATGGATGAGGTAAAATTTTAAATGAACATAATGTTTGAAGGAGTTAAGAGTTGCACCATTGATTAATTATATAAAATGCATGATAGTACATAGAAAAGGGGGTGTGATGAATCAGCAGTTAAAGATGCTAAACTTCTTAGCTGGAGAGCTGACAGCCCAGTTTCGAGACCAAACAGGGTGAGCTACGCAACAGGGTGAGCTCTCATTATTTGACCCATATCCTGCACATCTAGCAGTTCAAAAGCATGCAAATGCAAGGAGATAAATAGGTACCACTTCCAATGGGAAGGTAACAGTCTTTCAGTGCCTCAGCGTATAGTCATGCTGGTCACATGAACACAGAAATATCTTCAGACAACGCTGGCTTCCTTGACTAAGAAACAGAAGTGAGTACTGCCCCCTAGAGTCGGACATGACTAAATGGAAGAAACCTTTAACTCTACATAGAATTCAATTCCTTTCAAGCTATTTTTTTAAATTCAGGCCACATAAAAGGAAGTGCTTTTTCATACAGTGAATTAAACTTTGCAAAATAATAGCAATGGATGCCAAAACTTCATTTCAAATGGAGATTAGACAATGAAAGGAATGGCAGCTTTCATTATCAGAATATTTGATGTTAATACCTGATCACTCCCAAGAACGTCTGCTAGAAGAAGCTGTTCCATTTACCCTAATGGTGAATGTCTTCAGCACATGATTGACTTCTCTCAGTATGTGGGATTTATCCAAAGAGCTATTCTTCACTGTAATTACTTTGCACAGAATGTAATACACTAAGCAAAGTAAAGAGTAAACTCCAATTAGTCTATTTCTTATATTGGAACTTTTGAAGGGCTTTTTATTTCCTCAGAAAAGATTTTGAGGTTTTTTCAATTTGGATTTAAAAAAAAAATATCTTACTCGGTTTATTATATAGCTTTTACCTTATTTTGTAATGGAGTATGCATTAATATTTTAAGAAATTATTTTGAGCTTTCTTTTTAAAACAGTCTGAGTGTGATGTAATAAATCTACTTTTATTTAGCTCAAAAGTTCAGATGGTTCTATGATAGCATATTTTATTAGTTTAGCTCTGTTTGCTGTTGAGAAAGCAGAACAAATGCATTCTGTTAAAATAGGGAATTGTTTTTAATTAAATAGCCATATTCATAAAAGAGGTAACCATGTTTCTCAAAACAAGTTAAATAATGAGAATTATGTGTAAATTGGTGGTAACATGGATATTTTTCTTGAATTATTTAGGGAGATTCCGAATTAGTGGCAAAAGATGACAATATAGGAGTTGACAATCAAAATGAGAAGAAATCACCCAACGATGAAGAAAAAGAGAAGCAAGCAGATGATAGCGAAACCAAAGAGAAAATCCATGAACAAATAGATGAGGTAATAGAGATGCATAGCAGCCTCTTGTTTCTTCACTAAAGAAGGAATAAGAGGCTACTATAAGTTAATGGTAAATTAATTTGTCTCCAAAACATGCAATGCATGTCCAGAATTCCTAGAAGATGAGTTTTAACAACCAGTGCCCATCAAAACTAGCCAGTAAATATCTTATCTTTTGCATGATTATTTACTTATTTTGTGCATTGGGTAGGAAATTAAAAGAGGAAATGGCAGCAGAGAATAGTAGTTAAGAAGCTGAATGTTTATGCACCCATATGTGAGAGATTCAATAAAATACTGGGAGTTTGCATTGCTAATTTAATGGTGCTTTGGACTGTTGAATTGATTCATTTCTAAATCTCTAAATGTACTCTTTTCCGGCTTTCTATTTCTCTCCCCCTTGCTTTTCTTTGCTTTCATTTTTAACTATCTGTGCAAACTCAGTTTTTGCAAATAATTCTTAAAGTTATTGCACATTTCAACCTGGCACAAAAATCTGGAAAAAAAGACATTGCTGCTTTAATTAGAAGCAGAGTAGGGCTGTTCTCATCAGTGGTGAGATTCAAATTTTTTTACTACCTGTTCTGTGGGCGTTTCTTGGTGGACGTGGCTTGGCTTGGTGGGCGTGGCAGGGGAAGGATACAGTAAAATCTCCATTCCCTCCTTACTCCTGGGGAAGTTGCTACAAAATCCCCATTTCCTTCCGATCGGGGAGGCAGAGAATAGGTGGGGGCGGGGCCAGTCAGAGGTGGTATTTACCAGTTCTTCAAACTACTCAAAATTTCCATTACCGTTTCTCCAGAACTGGTTAGAACCTGCTGAATACCACCTCTGGTGCTCATACAACATCCAGAAAATGTTTTCAAATCATTTTCCAAGCATGTGTCTTGATATGTATTTAGAGGATTCTCATCTTTCTTGTTTTTAATTGTAAATATTTGAAGTGTGTCACTTGATGAAAGGACTGGTGTCCATTTTAGAATTTTCCCTCCACTATTAATGTTTGTATAATATTCTTAAATATTATATTCTTAAATATTTTTAAACTTCTTAGTTAAAAATATATAGTAAAAATCAATATTCCTAACTAAGTGGGGAAAGCAGCTCAGGCAAGATATCTCGCTGATGACTAGACAGTGTTTATTATTACCATTATTGTTATTCTTTTTTACCAAAATATATTACAAATATAGTAATCATAAAGGATTAAATATAGTGATCATAAAGTTCCATCCAATAACAAGGATTCATTCACAGTTCACAATCAAACCAACTAGCAGATATTGATAAGACAACATCAATATGTTTTTAGAATTGTACCCTGTGATATGAAAGGATATATTTTACAATGGGTGATACACTTCCTTAAAGCATTCAGATATTTTTTCTGCTTGAGCAGGTTCAATAGAATTTCAAGCCTCAGAAATTTTGCCTCCCTAAAGAATGACATCTCTGCTTTCCACCTTTGTTCTTCTTATAGTGTCTTCTGCTTCACAGGGTGAATATGATGAGAATGAAGTGGATCCTTACCATGGAAGGCAAGAAACACAACCTGAACCTGAAGCCCTGGAACTTGATCATGAGCTGAACCTAGGAAATGAAGATATGGATGAGGAAGACAAAGAAGAAGAAGAAGGTAGAAGTGAACATGGCTAAATGATGCTTAGGATCAGCAAGATTGTTATCTCCAGGGGGGTGAAGGAGGAGCACTTGACAAAACTTGTGTCCTGGTACAAAAGCTGCAACTTACAAACTTGGCATCAGAGTTTAAAGTCTGGCTTTCTGGCCAAATTATTGAAAATTAGGATTTTGTTGCTATCAGCAAGTATGTTTGCATCTACAACAATTTTCATCAGCTTGTTGAAGTAAAAAATAAGTAATCTTAGTAATTTGAAGAGTTGATTCAAAAGATGCTATTTATAGTTTAAAGTAGATAGAACAATGAACATTTGGGGAATTAGGTAAGCTAAGAATGTGCTCTTTTTCAAATTTGAAGCCGAAAAGGTGCTTCACATTTGAGCCACGGTGGCACAGTGGTTAGATTGCAGTACTGCAGGCTACTTCTGCTGACTGGAATTTGGCAGTTCAAAGTTCACCAGGCTCAAGGTTGACTCAGCTTTCCATCCTTCCGAGGTGGGTAAAATGAGGACCCAAATTGTTGGGGGAAATATGCTGACTCTGTAAACCGCTAAGAGGGCTGTAAAGCACTATGAAGTGGGTCTAAGTCTAAGTGCTATTGCTATTCAGTGGGCTTATGGGCATTCATGCTATATCTGCCAATGGCTCCTTGAAGAAGCTGTGTTTTCCCCCAGCTCCATATGGTAACTGTGTGATCTCAGGAAAAATATGTGTTTGGGTTAAAGAAGTGTCCACGTTGTGTCTAATTTTTGGCCCAATTGATGCTCCCTGAACACATGGGAGCTATCCATTCAATACCCACTGTGCAGCTATTATGTGATTCCAGAAAAAGAAATAACTTATTTATGGAAGAAATTGAGAGGAGAAATTGATGGTTTCATGGATACGCCCAATCCCAGTCCAGAGCTTTGTATCCAAAGCACATCCTTGATTTGCACTTTTTTCATTTCCCTGGGCCTTGATCACTTATGTCTGGTGTCCTTTGTCCTTTCAGGTATTCAGTTCCAGAAATAATAGTGCATGTATGGAATTTAGCAGGCTTGGGGCATTCTATCCAGTTGTATGTGTGTGGGTTTGTAAAAACTATATCTCTTTTTCTATCAGGAGAAAATCCTTTTGAGATTGAAGAAAAGGCGATAGATGTAGATGAAAAGGAAGCAGAAGATAAGAATACTGGAGATATGGATGAAGATGGACAGGATTCTGAGCAAGTCGAAAAAGATCCTTCTGAAGATAAAATTGAACAAGATAAAAATGAAGAAGATAAAAATGAAGAAGGGACAGAGAATTCTGATGCAAATACAGGCGAAGAAGAGGACTCTACTGTAGAAGAGCAAAAAGCTGAAGAGAAAGAACAGAACATTTCCACTGCTGATCAAGGCCTTTGTCCTCAGGTTTCACATATTGTTATTAATAGAATTTTGTGTGTGTGTGTGAGAGAGAGAGAGAGAGAGAGAGAAGGAGTGAATTTCAGTAAATATATTTTCTCTAATTTGTCATGAAAGAAACTAAGCTTGTTTATAGTCTAAAATGTGTTGTGTATGGTATGTCAGCTACTAATATTTTGCCAAACTAATGCTAATACTGACTCATTTTTTTAATTGCTTCAGAAAATTGATGAAGCTGGTAATGATACCGAAAACGAAGAACAGTTACCTGAAGCTTTGGAAAGAATGGAACATGAGGCATATGGAGAGACAGGAGAAGAGAACCTGCAGAGCGATACAGCTGTTGAGATGGTTGGAACTGCATCTGAGAAGGATCAGGCAAAAGAGGTGAAATGAAATAACCTTAATAAGTATTTGTACTGGTACTGGAGGAGTTGCAGCTTCAAATGTATCTCAGCCATGGGAGCTCACTGGTGCCTTTAGATCACCATCTCTCACCTCAGCACATCTCATCATAACCTTAACCCTAATTGCAGTAGAGGGAGAATTTTGTAACTTCTGTAGCAGCTACTTCATGTCTCTCATGTATTTCTATCCTATCAACTTATTGAGTAATTGCTTTAAAAACTAGTGTCTGGCTCATATCCAGAATATATTTTTTTGGGTTCACTTTGACTTAAGAGTTTGTTAGATCTATAGAACGCAAAATAACAGAGTTAGAGAGGATCTTAGAGGTCTTCTAGTCCAACCCTCCACTCAAGCAGGAAATCTGTTGCAATTTCAGACAAATGGCTGTCCAATCTCTTCTTTTAAAAAACTCCAGTGATGGAGCAGCTACAACTTCTGGAGGCAAGTTGTATCACTGATTAATTGTTCTCACTGTCAGGAAATTTCTCCTTACGTTTTAGACTGAATGTCTCTTGTTAAGCTTCCATCCATTACTTCTTGTATTGCCCTCAAGTATTTTGGAGAATATTGGATCTATTCATATTCTTCAGTAGGTCTCAAAACACTGAAAATAAGGTAGATGATAATACCAGCATCCATTTTCCAGTAAAGAGGAAAGCATATTTCCATTTTTAAGGGGGAAAAACATTTATAAAAGTGACAATGTATTACAGGTGTTCTTTGTATATATAGTGCTTTTTAAACTTTATTGACTATTCCCTTTGGTTACATCCTCAAATTGCTAAATTAATCAATTTCTCCAGTAAGACTAACAGATTTCTCTATTCCAAAGATGATGTAGTTGTCGGCTTTAAGCTTAATATGCCTGTGATGTGTTTTTGCAAACAAGATCTTACTTTGCATGTCTTATTTCAGGAACACGGGAGTGGAACTTCGGATGCCAATCAGCCAGAAGGACATGAATCTGAATTAATGGCACATCTGGCTTCACAGAAACAAAGCAGAAAAAATACCCAGGTGTCTTATTCTTTTAAAAATGTGTAAATTACTATTTTGCAAATTGGAGGCTCCTATACTAATGATCTTTGAAGACTGTTTAATGGAAAGCCAAGGAAAAACGAAGCATATGGGACCGCTAATTATTCCTTGGCTCTCGTGCTGCTTGGATGTTTTAAGATAGTTTTGAGCTGAAAAAAAATCAGAATCTGCTGATACGTATTCGAAGAGAAACTGCATCTAGAAGTAATACAGAATCAAACACAAACTTTGTACAGTTTTTATTAGGAACAGAAGCAAAAGCAAAGCAGAATTGAATAGCAATAGCAATAGCAGTTAGACATATACCGCTTCATAGGGCTTTCAGCCCTCTCTAAGTGGTTTACAGAGTCAGCATAATGTGTGAAGATGATATAGGCCAGCAGACCTCCCAGATCACTCTCTTACTGGCTTCATTGTGGCTCCAACTTTTCCTCTTATAGCCATTTAGAATTAGAATTCTAAATGGCATTTGGTTTTGGATCATAAATAAAATTTTGATTTGAATTCTATGTTGTATGAGCCTTCATATACAGAAAGCTCTCAGCCTAAAAATACTTTGGGCAAGGGGAAAAGAGAAGCTTCTACTTGAACTTGAGAGCCAGTAATAGAGTAAACCAGAATTTCTGGGGCACCTGACTTTGGCCTAGTTGCCCATTTGCAGAGAATTGCAGGTATCCCAGCTGGAGCCTGGAAGACAAGATTAAGCTGCAAGCCAGATTTTCCTACTGTGCAAATAAATAAATAATCAAATAGAATTAATATTTTAAGGCAGGAGTGGATAACGTGAAGCTGCAGAGGCAGGACAACCAGCCTATCTTTTCAAGCAGTTCCCAAAGTCAATTTCATGCACCTCTAGAATCCTTTTCTCTTTTTTTAAAGGAACAGGACCTTTTTTATTCTCTTTTCCTGAATAGAATTTGGATTTGCTTCATCCCCTTGGAAATGTGCTTTCCTGTGTTTCAGAGTTATAAAAGAAAGCCAGGACAAGCTGACAACGAACGCGCACCAGGAGATCAGAGCCAACCTGTTCACAAGCGACTGAGAACTATTGAGTCTAGCCAGGAAGCAGACGAAAGACCAGTTCAGCCAGGACAACGTCAGGTGGAGGCTGACACCTTTGAGCATATTAAACAAGGCAGTGAATCCTATGATGCTCAGACCTATGGTATGGCAGCATTCACAAGACACCTCAGGGAATAATAATGATAATCTCTTTATGGCATCATAGTTTAAAAAACATATATATTTCTTCACGAACAGATACCATGTTTCCCTGAAAATAAGACCTCCACGGATAATAAGCCCAATCAGGCTTTTCAGCGCATGCGCTAAAATAACCTCTCCCCCAAAATAAGCCCTCCCCCCAAAATATTGCAACACAGCAGCAGCCATGAGGTGACCATGCTTGCTATCTCCTATACCTCAAAAATAATAAAACCTCCCCAAAAATAAGGCCAATCGCTTATTTCAGGGGTCAAAAGAAAATAAGACCATGTCTTATTTCCGGGGAAAGACGGTATGTGATGACTGAGTGTTGTATTCCTTTTACATTCATTTACACTTTAGGTTCATTTTGAGAAATATATTTTTCATTCTGTCTTAGCTAATGCTCTACAGTTTAGTCTACAATGCTCTATATCCTAAGACTGTGGGGTTGCACGAAACCTTCCTAAGCCTTGAGTGTGACCCCCAAAATCCTCAAGTATTGTTATCAAATGGTAATTGCTAATGTAGCCAGAATGGGAAAAGCATTAAATTTGTTACTAGAGAAAATTTTTTAATTCTAGTTTTAGATAAATAAACCATTTTAGAGAATGATATACTTTTTTGTAAATAAAACCGCAATGATAACTAGTTTAGCTTGAAATGTAAATTAAATGAAAACCTTAGGGGGGGTGGCAATGTCTTCTCCTCCACAACCTTTTCAAATATATTCCCTCCTGTTGCCTCCTACAAGTCAAGTGGAGTCCTCAGCCTAGAAAAAGTTTGCATCCAAGTATCACATCTGTTCAAATTTAAATCTTACTGAGTTTAAGAGACTTAATATTGATTTAACAAATGTATAGAGCTGTGTTGTGTTTCATGCTCAACTGCTAACCATATTTTATTTTTGCTACATTGGGCTGGTTCAAGGAGAAAAGTCAATTTGCTTGACAAATGCCATGCTTGTTTCTAGACTGTTAATAGATCAACTCCGAATTTTATGATGGCTCATATGCTGATGCTGGAGAACCTCTTGTGATTTTTTAAAATATGATCTGAAAACAGTATTTTATTGGTTTATGTTCCCACCAGATGTAGCAAGTGAAGAACAACAAAAACCAATTTTGCCTGTTAATGAAGACAATGAAGAAACAATTTCTGACGATCTGGCTATGGAAACAGAAGATCACGCTGCTGAGGAACTCAAAACCTCAGAGGTAGAAAAATTGAATCCAGAAGCAAAAATGTCTGGGACTTCCAAATCTGGTAAGTCGTCAACTTCTTGCCTTGAGAATTCATTTTTTAAGAAATAGCTTCCTACATGTTTGTGGAAATAGCACAATAATACTGCTAATGAAATAAGTTAATACTAGTGAATAATAATTTGTTGATTTTATCTAAGACATTGCTACGTATTAAGTGAGCCAAAGTAGGGTACAGGAACGGATATGCAGTAATTAGCGAGTATGTATAATTCAATCCTAGGACCTGAGCAGATAGAGGCAGACAGCCAAGTTCCTAATTCTGAAGATGCTGAAGAAAGGGAATCAAACTCTTTACTGCCAGAAGTAAAGCAGGACCGAAACAAGCACTCGACTATTCATACCGCTCATCAGTTTTTGAAGGATCCCAATGCACAGGTAGAAGACAGCTCACATTTTAAAAACAAAACGATGGGCTAACTGGTTTAAGCAGATATATTTTAATGTGATCATAATGTTGCAGTAGTTGCAGGCTGTTGCAGATTACAATCTCAGGTGATGTAGAACATAGGTCCCCAACCAGTGCACGGCCGGTATTGGTCCGCATCTTGTTGGGAGCCAGACTGCACAAGCGGCAGGCAAACACACTAAGCTCCATTTACACAAGCGGCGGGCAGCATGCAAACCCCTCCCCCTCCACCACTCCCCGGCTGTGGCTGCTGCTGATCCACAGAGCTAGAAGGGTTGGGGACCACTGATGTAGAATCAATAGATAGGTTTCAAATTTGGGGAGGACTTTCAACTGCTGATGATAGCAATAGCAGTTAGACTTATATACCGCTTCATAGGGCTTTCAGCCCTCTCTAAGCGGTTTAGAGAGTCAGCATATCGCCCCCACAATCTGGATCCTCATTTCACCCACCTCGGAAGGATGGAAGGCTGAGTCAACCTTGAGCCGGTGAGATTTGAACCGCTGAACTGCAGATAACAGTCAGCTGAAGTGGCCTGCAGTACTGCACCCTAACCACTGCACCATCTCGGCTCTTGGATGGGGAGATAAAATTATGACAATAGGTAAAGACATTAATGCTACCACTTTACCTTGTAGACTCAGTATATAAAGAGAGTCAGATATCTACATTAAAATAGCATGAAGTTGCTTTGCTTTCATTACTATTACACCCCTGTAAAAATTATAATTACAAATTGGCTCCTTGGAAGTTTACAAATACAGTTAAAGTTAACAATGCCTGAAAATAAGGAATATGGAAATAGAGAGATATAGAGCTGCAAAATTTCAGCATTCTGATCAATACTCATTTTCACTTTCATCAGATTCATCCAGCCTGTAGCTCAGGGGTGTCAAACTCATGGCATCACTTTGTTGTCATGACTTTTTTCCTCTTCGCTAAACCGGGAGTGGGCGTGGCCAGCGCATGACTCATCTGGCCTGTGGGCTGCGAGTTTGAAGGCTTCTGTAGCTGCTTTAAATACTGGTGCAGTCCTCTGAATTATATCACCAGATTCAAATGGATACTAGGGAGAGAAAGCTAAATATAATCAGTGGTGACAGTACTTTTTCCAAATCTGTAAATGATTTTCTCAATTGACTTCTTGTACGTGTTAAAAAGCATGGGGACCTGTTAGAGGTTTAAGCAATTTTTTCTGCAGAAGGGAACTGAACTGGCAGATCACTGTGAAATGTATTTATTCTACTGTGCTTCTATTTATTCTAGAAGGATAGATGGTAACAAAAAAAATCAGAGCAAGTCAGTAAAACAGGGTGGCAGACTTGCTGAAATGTTTCCTACAAGTATAGATGTGATAAAGGACAATAGATAATCTGGTGGAAAATCCATGTAATTCTGGAATGTTGTATTACTAGGGATGATCTAGCACTTTTCCAGAAGATAAACTAGCTGTTCTGGCTTGGACTACTGGTTTCCAAGGGAACCTGTTTTCCAGTTCAGAAGATTAATTTTCAGAATACTACTGGAGTATCTTCATAATTGGGCAAATGGCATAGTCTGGAGAAGAATCACATTCTGTATTTCTCTAGAGCAGTGGTTCCCTACCTTTTTTTGGCCATGCCCCACCTAAGCATCTCTAAAATCCCGATGCTCCCCGGTGACATATAATTCTTACTCTACTTAAAAAGTGAACTCTACTCACAGGGAGGAAGCCTAAAAGGCTTAACTTTGTTTAAACGAAGTTCAAATTGCCCCCATTAAAAATCAAATTGCCCTCCTGGTGGGAACCATTGCTCTAGTCCAGAGCATCCCATTCTAAAGGTTTTGCCCAACCTCTATAGACTAAGATAAAATGTAGGTTACTCTTTGAAGGAGTATTTTTACCTCACACTAAAACTAATATGTTCATATTACTGGATTCTTATTCCAATTTGTTATATTTTAAGCACATTTTTAAAAACCCTGAAGAACTAAGGCAAGAACTTGAGAAGCAGCTTGAAGCCTGGAAGATTAGAAATCCTTTAGAGGTTAGTAACATATTTAAGTAAGGATATCATTTTGTACTATTTTTTTATGAGAAAGATAATTAAATCTTGTTTTGAAGTCATGTTAAATACTATTCCTTAATCGTTTCAAACCTGTGTCCTGATAATGTTCTGCAGTATCTAACTGGTGTTTTTATAATCATAAAATTGTACAACAAATCATTTACTTTATATTAAATACGTATAAAATATTACCTTTGAAAGCCTGTGGGAGAATTAATTACTGACCTGAAGGTATTAAGAAATGATGTATTTTTAACTTTGTGTTTTATTAAAGATATTTCTGGATTTTTTAAAATAAATATTGGAAGCCTGAAGTCCATCTAGTATAGTGTTTCTCAACCTTGGTGACTTTAAGTCCGGATTCTGGGAGTTGAAGTCCACTGGACTTAAAGTCGCCAAGGTTGAGAAACACTGATCAAATATTTCTAATACATGAACACTCGGAACACATACGAATTTTCATAGACACCCTGGATGTGTATTCTGCATTACTTCTAACATACTGTACAGACAACAAAAAGAGTTATTTTCTAAAGAAACTGGGTCCGATCACCCCTTGTTAACTAATGGATTTTATGTGGGTTTTATCTTGTACCTTGAATGTTGTAGGGGGATGCAGTAGCCGAAGAGATGTGGCAGAGATACCTTTTGCTCACTGAACCTCTTTCGCAGCAGCTCTGTGAGCAGCTCCGACTCCTCCTGGAGCCAACTCAGGCAGCCAAGTTGAAGTAAGTAGAGCAAAAAGCAGGAACCAGCTAAACAGTTTGATTAGCGGAACAGAGTTTCATAGTAGAATGCATAGCGCAATGAAATCAATGGCATTTAATGCTTGTTTAATCTCTGTTTAGCAACTGCCTAAGCTATTCACATACATATGAGCAAGCAAATAGGTCAAAAAACATAAATAATTTTAAAAAGATAATTTTTAAACAAATGTGGACATTTATGACAATAAAAGTCATTGTGAAAATGATTTAGGCCTAGTCAGTTTCAACCAGCAGTGCTCTGCGGTGGGTGAGTTCTAATTTAAATCTTAATTAGTTAAGATCCCAGAGGTGAGCTTGAGGTTAACCCTTTTTAAGGAAGAACTTCACTGCAGAGAAAAGCATCTCAGAAAAATGGTTTAAGCAATCTCTTCATCCTGCAGGAAGAGAAAAAAGAGGGAGGAACAGTCGGGCACATGACACTCCACTAGAGAACTTTATCTGAATGAGATGGCAGCAATTAATGATCTTTGCAGCATCTCTCTCACATAGTTCATTTAGCGACCATTTCTCCAGAACCAGTTGTAGTTGCTAAACAAGGACAACCAGTATTCATTAAATGGGTGCATTAAAATGTTAATTGAATTAACATTCTGAGTTCAACAGCCATATATCTTGATTAAATGCTATCATCACTTTTCCAAGTGTATTAATTATTTATTGCATTTATGCATTGTCATGTTCCATATTTTAGGATGATACAAGAGTCTTTGATTCCTTCAAAAGGTTAACTATTGTAGTATAAGCATTTGCAGACTGAAGTCTATGTGGGCTTGGAGTTTGTGCACATGCAACAAGACTGTACAATTTGACAGCATAATCTGCATATTCCCAAATCATATTTTATTTTGATTGATAAAGTTTTAACTCTTATGTCAATAAAGATATGTTTTCAAGTCTGAATTGTGCTTCCGAGAGATGACTGATTATATACTTTTGGAGCATAAGAGCAGAGAGGCAATATCTTTCACACATTCTATAATAATAAAACCAGAATTACATATGCATAACAAACGTCCTGTTGGCAGAGCTGGCAAATTTTATTCAGATTGCAGAATTCATTGAGATTGCCAGAAATAAAATTCTGTTTATTTGGAAAGGAACAATAACAGCTTTTGCAATTTCTATCTAATATTTTGGATTTTCCTCCTAGGTTTTTATTTTTAGAAAAGCTGTGAAAAATATTTAAAATTATTTCCAACCCCATTTGTCTCAGCCAACATCATCTTTTCCAATTGTCAGAGAACTACATATATGCAATAACCACATTTGTAGAAATCTAGCAATTTCTTCTAGCAATCTTAAACCAATATTTCTGATAATTAAATCTCTGGTGAGTTGTGCAAAACTCATATTCTGCTTAATTATTTTTATAAATCTCATGTTTACAATAAATGTTATATGTCATATTGTTATGATATTTATAACCCTGTGTTATAGTTTTCATGTTTTGAATGTTCCCAATTACCAGAGGTGATTATAGAACAGGAAAAAGGTTGAACATGCGCAAAGTAATTCCATACATTGCAAGCCAGTTCAGAAAAGATAAAATATGGTTACGAAGGACCAAACCCAGCAAGCGGCAATACCAGATTTGTTTGGCTCTTGATGACTCTGCCAGCATGGTAGACAATCACTCTAAACAGGTAAAAGAAATTACAAATATTACATTACATTCTGATCTTACAGGTTTGCATTTATTCATATTTCTTCTGTGTTTCAGTGATGGCGAGCCTTTTTATTACGGCATGCCAAAATTGTACATATGCCCTTGTCCACACCAATTCAATCCTTCCCACCCACCTGTGCATGCACGCGCAACCCCTTCACAGGCTCCAGAGTCTTTCCTGAAGCTTGGGGAGGGTTGGAAACGCTCCCTGGATGCCCTCCAGAAACAGATCATTTCCAAACTTTCGTTTGGCCCATTGGGGCCGTTTTTCGTCCTTCCTAGGCTTCAGGAAAGCCTCCAGAGGTTGGGGAGGATGAAAAACGCCCCCAACTGGCCAACCAGAAGTTCATTCCCACTCTCACTGCACTTCAATGGATGTACAGGCAGGATGTTTAGTACTTGAGATACTTGATGTATTTAAAGAAAAGTGTCATCACTGCAATTTTCTAATTTCTTGCAGAGTTTGTATGAAAGTATGTGGCATCACAAGCTTTAAGAAAAGGTTTTATCGATGGCAAACATTTTTAGAATTTTGCAGTTTAAATGTTAATTCTGTGCCAAATTGTTCATATTAAAATCTACTGATAATACTTTTAACCTTACTTATCAATGAACTCCAACTATGTCAACTTGTTTTTGTAGCTCGCATATGAATCCTTAGCAGTGATTGGGAATGCTTTAACACTTTTAGAAGTGGGACAAATTGCAGTATGTAGGTAAGAACACCTTAAACCTTTATTGATTTTCGGTAGTGAAAATTAATCTAATTCTTGCAGGGGGACACATTTTTTTTAAATATGTTTCACTTTTATTTTAGTTTTGGAGAGACAGTTCAGCTGCTACATCCATTCCATGAACAATTCAATGACCGATCAGGAGCAAGACTACTACAGCTCTGCAAATTTGAACAAAAGAAGACTAAGATAGCTCAGGTAACGCCATTTCTTAAGGTCATGTTGTCCATTGCCTTACATCTGACTGCATTGTAGAGACAAATCTGCTTGTACAAGCTTCAAGCTGTATGGCAGGATCCTTCCCCAAGTTTTTAGAATTGCCTTTCGGTTGGTGGTGGAAGTAACCTTTAGATGAGATGAGAAGCACATAAATCAAATGAAATAAATATTCCCTCACTGTTGGTGCCTCAGGATTTCACTCTTACCTGTTTGGGTGCTGGTTGTGATAAAGCTCACAAGTTCATGTCCCCCATGACAACCATAGACTTGTTTCAAATACTGGGCCCAAACCATAATGGTGGCAACGCCTTGGATCTTGTCATTTTCTCTTGGCAACTACCATATTTTGTAGAGTATAAGACGTACCAAGGTTTTGAAGAGGCAAATTCTTTTTTAAAAAATTTTGCACTCTGCAAACCTCCCCAAAACGGGCCCTTTTCTTTGAAAAGGATACTGTTTTTTTTCTTCAAAGAAAGCACGAATAGCCTTTAGGGGGCTTGCAGAGTGCTCCTGGGAGGTGGCCCCCCAAAAAACGAGCAAAAAATGGCCTGTTTTTTGTCAAATAAAATGCATGCATAGCCTTATGTAGGCTTATAGAATACTGCGGGGGTGCGGGGGGGGGGGAAATTGAGCAAAAAACAGTCGGTTTTTCACTCATTTCTGCCCTCCCCAGGTTCTAGAGGCTCTGCTCAGCCATTTTGGTGAAGGGGGCGGAATTTCAGGAGGCAAAAAATGCTATATAAGACACACCCAGATTTTCAGCCTCTTTTGTGGGAAAAAGGTGCATCTTATACTCCAAAAAATACGGTAGTTGATAATTCTGGAGAGAGAGAAGGGATTTCCATCATCATGGTCAGATCTGGTTATAATTAAGAGCAATCTGTGAGCTCTGTAGGATTGGGAGGGGGGGGGGCTCATTGTTCTGCCCCAGTTGATTTCCAGTGGGAGCATGGGGAGTTTTCCAGCTCTCTAGCAGGCAGTTTTGCCCTGATTGGTTAAGTACTTGGCATTAAATAGTGTGCTGGGTGCTGAATAGCATTGCCTCTGAGTAGAGTCTTCTTGCTGGTGGCTGATCCCATTTGGTCCCTTGCTTTTCCATGACCCTTCTAATAGTGAAGCACCAGAAACAATGTCTGGAGCATAAATTGTAGCGAGGCAAGAAGTCAATATACTACCAAGGACAGATACATGCTTATGTTCCGGCTTCATTATGGCAATAAAGGAGGCTGTGTTTACTTATTGGGACTCTTATCCAGTGGCCTTAATTTGGATTGGACAGGGAGAAGGTGACAGGAATTCTTGGCAATGAAATGGTTCCTTTGCCATTTTATTGTAGTGACTGCTGTAACTCTTAACAAAATGGAACCCAGGGTTTTGCCTAATTTCTGCTGGGGGAAAGAATGGTTTACTTTGTTCTATCAGAAAACCATCTCAAAATGAAACAATGCTTACTGCTATGCTTCAAATAGAATTTGGAAAAGTAGTGTCTTAAAAGTGTATAATTCAAATTGGGCGTTCCTATTCCTTGTCACAGAATCAGCATAACAGTTTTAGGGTGGAGGCTGTTTTTCACAATATTTGTTTCTCATGTTCTTCTACAGTTTTTAGAATCATCAATAAATATGTTTGCTGTAGCACAGCACTTGTCTTCGAACATCAATCCAGGTATGCCTCTTGATTCCTTTTTTATAATCATTAAAAATTACCCTAAGTGAAAGCTGTCCGAGTTGTTCTGGGATCAGGCAACTTCTAAACTGAATAAATAAATAACATCAGCACTGATTATAAGAAGTTGTAGTCTGTANGAAGGGGAAGGAGAGGAGGAAGGAAGGAAGTAGAAAAGGGAGGGAGAAAAGAAAGAAAATAAGGTGGTGCTACAACAGGCACTAGGGATGGTAAACAAAACAACTCAAACTGTATATTATAACCTTTTAAATGGAATAACAAAAGTATAAGAATGGCAAAGAAAAAGAATAACTATGTGACATTTTCAACAACTTTTCATAAAAGGATTCTTGGTTTGAAAAAAAACAAAACACCTTTGCGGCTTAGCTTTGTTGAACATTTTTCGTGTAGATTATATAAAAGAACGACCACACCGCTCTGAAAGAAGAATCGGCTCTGCAGCTCTCGATTGCCAATCGGCTGATTCTAACCACAAAATCTAATTGGAATATTGATAAAGACTTGAGTAATATCACCAAACTGCACTTCTGGTTATATTCTTATTTATATTCTTTTTTTTTAGTTCTGTTTGTCAATTGCTCTTCTATAAATATTGAGTGGGGGTCTTTACACTTCCCTTTGGTTCCTAACTGAAGCGCTCAACCTACTTGAGGAAGAAAGCGCGGCACGCAGCTCCCGACGTGCTCGGGTGACACGTTTCCTTAAACACGTGTTTTTCGTTTCACCTTCCACCTGGGAAGCCGCTACTCACGCTTGCTAAAGGAGGAGTTACTCCGAAGTTTCCCCGTCTGCGGCCTCCCTCTTTCTTCCCGCCCGTAGAGCGGCTGCCGGGGCCGAGCGGGAACGGTTCGTCCTCCGCCTCTGGCGCTAAAGAGTCCCCGCCCCAGACCATAAAAGGGGCCGAAGGGAGCGAGCGAGCGTGAGCCATGGCGGCCACCCGGCTACCCCCGACGGCCTTAAGCCTGAAGCAGGTAGGGAAGAGACCGCAGCCAGGGGAGGAAGCAGCTCGGCCTCCTCTCGGTGTTTGGCTGCCGAAGTGGCAGCTGTGTTTGGGCGCCTCGTAAACGGCGCCGTCAGGAGGCCGGGCGAGCCTGTCCGTACAAAGAGCTCCGCTGCAATGGGAGAGTCTTTGAGAAAGAGACTCCGGGCCTGGAAGCCGCCAGTCGGAAGGAAGCCTAGCAGCGCTGCGGAAGCCTCCTGGCAAGAGCCCTAGTTCTGCCCGGAGGCTTCATTCGGGCCAATAGAAATAGAAATGGAATTATTGGAATTGGAATAATTTATTGGCCAAGTGTGATTATTGGACGCACAAAGAATTTGTCTTTGGTGCAGATGCTTTCAAGGTACATAGAAAGACAAGATACATTCCTCAAGAATCATAAGGTGCAACACTTCATGATAGTCATAGGGTACAACTAGCAATCAAACCATCCGAGGAAACAATTCAATATAAATTGTAAGGATGCAAGCAGCAAAGTTACAGTCCTGCAGTCGTAAGTGGGAGAAGATGGGTGATAGGAATTATTAGGCACCCCTGAAATTGCAGGCAAGTCGTCTGCTGACTCCCCCAATCATGTTTAGTCCCGGTTCAGTGTCTTCCTTTTCGAAAAGTCTTTCTTCTCTTTACAGAAGGGGGGGGGGGCTGCTTCAGTTGGAATGTAGGTACAGGCAGTCCTCTGCTTACGACCCCCACTGAGCCCAGAAGTTATGATGCTAAGGGAGAATTTTGTTACAATGGGTTTTGTCCCATTTTACAACCTTTTCTTGCCACATTTGTTAAATGGATCACTGCAGTTGTGAAGTTAGTAACGGGGTTGTTAAGCAAATCGGGCTTCCCCATTGACTTTGCTTGTCAGAAGGGAGATTGCGTGACCCTGGGACATTTGCAACCGTCATAAATAGGAACCAGTTGTCAAGCATCCGAATGTAAATCACGTGACAGTGGGGATGATGCAACAGTTGTAAATGTGTGAAAAGTGGTCGTCGGTTCTTTTTTCAGCACTGTTGTAACTTCGAACGGTCACTAACTGATCTGTTGTAAGTTGAGGATTATGTGTTTGTTGTAACCTAGGGTTTGCTTTTTTCCTAACCAAAGAGCCTATTGCTGCTTCAGTAACTGAATTCCTGGGGCGCATCTGCATACTGCATGTAGAGAAAGCTTCCAAGGAGAATTTTTGAAAGAATTCTGCAAAAGCCAAGATTAAAACATATTTTTGGAAGACAAAATCTGGTCGGGTATGGTTAGCCACATGAGGATAACTTACATACGTCAAGAGTATGTACACGAACACACAAGCGCACCCTGCCCTAGGACTAAGTTCTAGCAATATAATAATATATATTATGTATCTTGTCAGTGTTTCATATTTCTGTAGGATTTATATGAACCCAAATTTGGGACTTCTATGGTCTGTTAGGAGTTTTGCAGTTTTGCAATTGTTGCAGTTTTGGATGCAACAATTGGCAATTAATGGATATCTCAAAAATTTTCTCTATGATTTAGGGGAGAACCATACAGAAGTTGATGAAGATCATGTTCTTTCATTTTGAGAGGTTGTGAAGTTTTTGAGAGGGTGGGGGACAAAGGGCTTTATTTTCATGACTACATGGTGGAGACAGATCACATTGACATAATGATGTGTCACTGTGGGGTCTTCTCAGCTCTTATTGGGCACTTTAGGCTGATACAAGCATGCACCTTCCTTTGTGACCACTGGGCATTACTCTCTGTGGCTATATTGGCCTGGACCAAATTCAGCCTGAACACTGGACCCACAGAATACAGTCAAAAAAGTAAAAAATGGTAGTAATTTGTATGCTCAAAGCTCCCTCTAATTAAGCTTGTGAAGATTGACAGCTCCGAGTTAAATAAATATTCCATGAAGTGCCTCTCCTGTGGATCTCCACACAACCTTGACCCATTCATTCAGATGGACAGGTCAGGCAGATGCACAGAACTTACAAATAAATTGAGGTAACATTAAGATAGGAAATAGGATAGAAGTAAAATATGTGGAGTATTCAAGTTTAACTTAATAAATTTAAATTTAAAGAGGGAAGGTAGTTGTACGTAAATTCGATAGTTGAGAGAAACAGGCAGGTTCATGATAATAATGTCCTTTCAAATCCATGATCCTCAAGGCCACTTTTATGCTGCATCTGAATTTGTACATCTTATTGTAAGTGAATTGTTGGGTTCCGGGTTTTTTTGCCGAGAGCAAATGGCAAAACCTTTTGACTTATGACAAAACGTGAGAGGTCCATTCTTTGTTTCCTTTGATGTTCTGCAGTTCCTGAGGAGACAGCAAGTTCTTCAGTTATACAGAAAAATCCTCAAGACCATTCGTCAGATCCCCAATGAAGCAGATCGTTGCTACATGAGAGACTGGGCGAGGGAAGATTTCAAAAGGAATAAAGAGGCTACAGATGAGGCAAGAGAATTCTCAAAATCTGATGGACTTGAAGATTACAGCTGGGCCTGAACTTCTGCCTGCTGCCTTCTGAGAGGCTCCCATACAGCTTTGCTTAGAGCATTAGACGGGGATTGGAAAAATCATTATGGGTACTATGCAATTGCTTGCCTGTCAGTCAAACGTGTATTGGAATATCAATTCCCCTTTAAAAAATAACTTCCAAAGTAGTTATGGTAAAGAAAAAGTGATTTCATATTTACATTCTTTTTCTGGATTTCCAAGAGCCAGTAGCTGGAGCCTGATGAAATGGCATATATTTTGAATTTAAGAATTCTGAGTCCAGGAATTAATTTCAAGTTAAAGAAGTGAACAAAGTAAATTCCGTTTAGGATTCTGTCTATGGATACAGAAAGGAGAATAATTTAAACCAATTGCCTTGCCGAATACTGCTTCCTAATTTGAGTAGTTGTGCAGATGAAGAAGAAAAACCATATTTTCATGATAGTTTTTATACTTTTTTATGCTGTCACTTCTTGTGAGATGGCTGCTCATATAAATTTGACAAATATACTTTTTTAAATTACTTTGCCTACCAAATATAACACTTTTGTTTTATAGGAGACAATTAAGATGATGATCACTCACGGCAACCTACAGCTTCAGGAGCTTGAGAGAACATTAAAATTGGCGAAATCCTAGACTTAATTCTGCTTACATGTCAAAGAAATTTTTTCTTGCAACTAACTGCAAAGACATTAAGTGGGAGGAGCCCTGCTGATAATCCGAAGATGCCCTGTGTAAACTTCTCAAAAGTTTAATGGAAGACCTGTTGAATATTCTGTCATGGTATAAATGCCATAATGCCTGAAGGTGCAATGAATAAAAAGACAAGCAATAACAGCAGCATCTGGACAATTCATGTGAAAAGTGCAGAAGTAGAGAAAGGGAATTTGATATCTTAGATTTATGAATTACACTTGTAAATACAAGAATACCATCACTCATTGGAACTATTTATCTTTACATGCATTATGTTTACCTAGAGAGTTCCACAAAGTAAAGAACTGAATGTTTAGCAGTGCTGCACAAAGCTTTGAAGAGATGATTTAATGAAGTAGAAATATGCCTTTGAACTGAATCATTGAATTTAATCTCCAAGGTAATAAAGCTACTCAGAGTGGCTTCAGTTCAGATTTGAAGGGTGTTCTATGGACTTCTGATACTTTCTGGCTTCGGTGTTGTATTTTTCTTCTTCTAAAACAACTGTTGAAGAAGAATGGACTGTTTTCTTATAGTGACATGAGAGTTGACCAGTGTTTATTATATATATAATATATACATATATATTTGTACATATAATATATACAAACATATATTATATTTATATATATGTTTATTTGCAACCATAGGTTTTAGCAAAATAGTTAGCCAGTCAATTTTATCTCTTTAGAACTATGCCTATAGTTCATGTACTTGGGTGAACAAGTACGGAGTGGATCCAATGTTGTTGTTATATATCTCTGGCTCTTCTGTTAGAATTTGTTTAGGCAAGTTTATTTGTAAAAAGAAAAATAAAGAGATTCAGTTTTGCTACTCTTTTTTAAAATCTTACTCTATTCTCCAAATCCTTAATAATACCTATAGTGTACTGTCTAGCTGCAGATGTTTAGTCTGAACCAGTATGCTTGCTATTGAGCAGTATATATGATTTTTTTTTACAATATGGCAAGATTCTGTCAGGGAATTACTGATTAACTGAGCTGTAAAACGTTCATAAAAAGACAGGAGGATATTGGCAGTGATATTAGCAAAATTATTGCAGCAAGGCTAAGCCTTTTGAGTTGCCTTAAATATATCACTTGTGAATATACTTTATTCTGGTGCAGCCTTTATTAGATTTCAATGCCACAAAGCATCATCTCCATTCACTACCGTACTCTTCCCTGAGAGGTGACTACAGTACAATTTTGATAGATTAGACATAGCTCTCTGCATTCTTGAGGGCTGGGAGACTTTGCTTTTACTTCCAGATTCAAGTATTGGCATTAAAATTAGGACTGGTTATCTTCTACTATGATCACATGCCTTCTAATTCCTGAATCAAAATGTATTGAAATAACTTAAAGGAATGAAATTATTTTGTGTCACAATTTAATATTAGCAACGTTCTTCTTAATCTTACCGGAATAGTCTATAAGAAAGAAGACTGAAAATACTCTTTGGAAACAGCCTTTTTGTTCCAGGATTATTATAAACAGTTCTACTGGCATAAAATACTGAGGTACATTTTTCAATTTAGCAATTATTTGTTTCAGGACGCATAAAACGCCATAGAAGAGCCAGTTCGATGTAGTGGGGAAGGTGCTGGCCTAGAACCATCCCATTTTCGGCAGGAAAATTGACTGGGTGACTTTAGGCCAATCAGCCTGCCTCAGCCTAACCCACCATACAGGATTATTGTAGGGAAAATAGCAGAAGGAAGTAGTAGTATGCATGTTCACCACCTTGAGTTATAAAATAATAAAGGTGAGATAAAAATCAAATAAAGAAAAGATGGCTGGTAGTGGGTGAGTAGAACACATGGATCTACCACAATCTTGAACTTCTATGGAAAGAATCTATCCCATAACATTCTGTCTGTTACCCATGCTGATCAATGTAATGTATATATTCATAATACAACTTAAATAAGAGCTAATACATATTAACAAAGAATTGTAGAGAGATGTAAGCAACACGAGAAATGTAGGAGCAAGAGATGGCAGAGTATGAGGGTTGCATCTCTACAATCAACTGGGATATATGTAGGACAGCTGCAGCATCCAGGGGTCAGGTGATTATCATTTGCAACTTTTTGTGCCAGCTTACCACTTACGAAGTCAACGGGGGAAGCTGGATTCGCTTAACAATTGCACAATTCACTTAACAACCATGGCAAAAAGAAATGGGCACTTGTTTAGCAACATAAATTGTGGTCCCAGTTGTGATTATAAGTCGAGGATTACCTGTATTCAACTATATTACCATTATTGGCTGCACATTTTTTTAGCATGGTAAAAACGTATATGTGCTAGTCATTCCTAATTCTAGGGGGAGGTGCTCATCTCCGTTTTAAAGCCGAAGAGCCACCGCTATCCGAAGACATCTCCGTGGTCATGTGGCTGGCATGACTAAACGCCGAAGGCACATGGAATACTTTTACCTTCCCACCAAAGGTGGTTCCTATTTTTCTACTTGCATTTTTACATGCTTTNAGTCGCCGAATGCTCTTCAAGGGCAGCCCCATGTAGAGCACATTGCAATATTCCAGCCTTGGTTGATAAAGGTGTGCCTACTTTTAAGGTCACAACATGTCAGAGCAGGATGGTCCTTGTTGCACTTTACACAGGAACAATGTTCAAATGGGCAACTCAATTGTTAGTTGCACAATTCATTATTACTAGACAGTTTGGATCTATTTCTTCAGTTATGTACACAGGATATTCAGCAATATTAGGTTTTAATTTAAGAAATTAATACTTAGATTCCATTTAACTTATCCTATGTAGGCAATACATTTTTGGAACGTTTTCATTTTTTAAAATACTAAGCAGTACAGAGCTTTCAGAAACTCTTGCAATATTTCTTGTTTTCTGTATACTTGATCCAGGATTTTATTAACAACTGAAATACATGTCTTTTACTAGAAACTGCTCAGTTACTCCTAATAGTATCAGATGGAAGAGGTCTGTTCCTTGAGGGCAAAGAACGTGTCAAAGCAGCTGTTCAGTCTGTACAGAATGCAAATATCTTTGTTATTTTTGTAATATTGGACAACCCTAATTCACGGGTAAGTTATCAATGCATCTGTGCAGCTTTTTTAACTGAAGAATATTATACATAATTATAAATTTATAATATTGACTATTTCCTTAGTTCCTTGAAATGGTAGTAAAAAGTTTTTTCTGCTTTTATTATTACTATTATTTTATATTATTAAAAGTAACAATAAGTCTATTTGACTTTGTTAAATGTTTAAAATTTCTCAATCACATAAACATAGATTGCCTTTCCTACAAAACAGTTGTTTATAACCATGCCTAATTTCTCATTTGCTGCAGATATATGAATTATTAATACATCTGAATTGATAAATTAATATATGAATTAATTCATAGTTCTGATTGATTGATTAATTGAGTTCTGGAATCTGCAAAGGTCCATGACCAATTTGTATCTTGGTCCTGCTTATTCCTATCTAATACAAAAACTTAAAAGGCAAATTTAATGCAGTGTCTTATAAAGATACACGAGAACCTTTAGGAAAGATTTATTTTTTTAAATGTAACCAAAAGGAACCAAATCATTTATTCATTTATTTAACTTGTTACGAATATCTACTATTTTTTATATTGTCATATAATTCTTTATTTAGAATCTTCTCATTTATAAACCAAAACATTTGGCTTTGGGTGTTAGTAAACTAAATGTTTACTAACTCATTTAGTAACCATGTTTGTTCCAACTACTTGATCATTAAGCAAAATGGTCACTAAGGGTACATGGTTCTGAGAGAGAGGGAGATACTGCAAAGATCATTGTTTGCTGTTGTCTCATTCAGACAAATTTCTATTGTTTTTTCCCCCTTTTTTGACCCCTTGTAGTGCAGAGAGATTGCTTACACAAACTATCTTCCTGAGCTGCTTTTTCCTACAGTGTAGCGCTTTCCTAAAAATGCTAAACACAAGTTAACCTCTGTGCCCTTAATTAATTGATTAGAGCCCTCCTACCAGTTACCCTGTTGCCTAAAACTGATTAGACCTTATTTAGTTTCACACTGAAGGCTTTTGTTGTCAGGTACATGAAATCTGGTTGTAAATGTATGCATTAGTGGGAAAATAAAAAATTACTGTACTTGCAAATGATTGCTAACTGAGGTTGTTGTTGATCAAGGAGCGGCTGTAAGTTAAAAGGGGTGGGACATACTTATCAGGAAGAGAAAAATCTCGTTTTTTTCTGCTGTCCTCACCATTTTCAATTGATTTAACACAAGCATATGTATACGGAAATGAGTATTACTTGATTATAAGAAAAGTCTAAATCTGTAATTCAGTATTTACTTCTGTTAATTTGCTGCTGTTTTCATTCACAGGATTCAGTCTTGGATATTAAAGTACCTGTATTCACACGGCCTGGAGAATTGCCAGAAATAAGGTCATACATGGAAGAATTTCCCTTTCCTTTCTACATAATTCTCAGAGATGTGAATGCCCTGCCAGAGACTCTCAGTGATGCCCTTAGGCAGTGGTTTGAACTGGTGACTGCTTCAGACAGTTTGTAGAGTGCGTCAAGCCTTCATCGAAGCATATAAGCTGATGTTCAAGGGAGCCAGAAATCTAAGACCTCAAACTTGCATTTTCCCTTCTCAGTGCAGGAAACTATACAATCCATGATGAACTTAAGACATCATCCCTAGTTTCCTTGCCAGTATTGGGAAACAGTGAAAAAACATTTTTTCCTTTTATTGTTGTTGTTTTACTTTGAGTATCGGTAACTTATTCTAGCTTTTATTTGATATTCTCATCATTAGGAATTAGGCAGACTTGTTGAGTAGTAAGAAGCAAGCTTTGCCTCCAAAAGAGGAAGTTGAACTCGAACTGTTGAACTATAATAAAAAATAGTTTGCTTTTAAGTCACCTGCATGAGTGGACCCTGTGTTGAGGAGTTGGGGGAGATTAAATTTTACACAGCCAAAAATAATAATAATCTCCTTGAATACTTGAAATTATTCAATATTGCTGAACGGTTGCTGCAAATATTTTGCTGCAAGGATATTTTTGTTACATTAAAGACTGGATTATCATTTTACACTGTGACTTTTGCCTTCTTTCCAAGGCAATTACTAGGAAACACTTGCAAGGGACTTTTTCTCCCAACCCTTTTTCATTGCAAAAACTATGCATTTTTTGTGATTATTAATAAAGCCATCCTTTTGTTTGTAATTATGGTGTCCATTGTTTGAAAGAGTTAATCAGGCCTGAAATAATCTAAATAAGGATTATTCAAACTTGAGAACTAAAGTAAATTCTGACACTTTCTTGAACTTGTCCATTCTTGTATGTAAACCAAACATCAATGTAATGATTATACTGCACTATTTCATGGGGTCCAGATGTGACTGGTACTACTGATGCAGGGAAAGTTAGCAATTAAACAGGAAGCAATTGTAAATGGAAGTTGGAGGAAATATATCCTGTACAGATACAATAATCATAAATTACAAAGGGGATATATACTTTATATATATGTCAGTACTTGGAAAGCAGCATCTGTCTGGTATCTATGAACATATATCTCCCCAGGCCAATATTGAACTGAAAGCCATGTGACACTGCATGCATTAGAACTTAACATTGCAAAGTATTTACAGTGCAGAATTTAAAGTATTTTGTGAGAGTCAGTTCGGTATAGTGGTTAAGGTTAGAAATTGGGAAATCATGAGTAATAGTCCTGTTTTGGACACAAAGCCAACTGGATAACTTTGGGCTAGTCAGTTTCTCTCAGCCCTAGAAAGGAGGCAATGGCTAACCACTTCGGAAAAACTTTGCCAAGAAAACTGCAGGGATCTGTCAAGGTAGTCTCCAAAAATCAGACCCAGTTGAACAGAAGGAAGAGAAATCCTTTATAATATCGTGAAACTGCAGGTTTTTAAAATTCCTAAACCAACCCTTTCTTACAATTACTTAATATGAAGTTACTTAAAACAACTTTGCTATAAATAGCCTTATGTAAGGTTAGACATGTTGATAATTGGGATATATAATTAATCAAATCATGAAGATTGGAGTTGATGTTTAACATCGTAACTCTTCTCCATTTTCTAAACTCACAAAGATGTTCTGTTGGGTAAAAGAACTGCATTGTTCCACTGGTTAAATTCCTCTTCATATTTTTCTGCTTAAAAATTATATTCTGTAAACCTTGGAAATTTCTTGCTATGGATGACTCTATTTTGGATCCAAATTTGGAGAATATACAGGATGTGATTTATGTCAGGGTATTGTGATCTTTACCAACAGCGTAAAATGGCTGTCCAAAATAAAGTAGAACTACCTCAAAAGCTTCAGGCATAAAGGAAGAATACTGTAGTTTGCTGTAATTTGATAAAAATAAAACCTGACAGCTCAAGATAGTTTCTAGTACTGTTTATTTCCTGGTCTCTCAAGTATTCAAATAGAACAAAGGAAAGTAATACTGATGATTTGTAGGCTTTTGTGATAGTGGTGAATGAGGGAAGCCTTTATTTTCTCATGTGCATTCGTAGCAAAAAGCCTCCAGATCGGGTATATTCTTTCATTGTCCAGCATGAACTGCATGATTTACATCTTTCTGAAGCACCTTAGTAATGTTGAGGTCAGGAGACTGATGACCCCTCTAGAATCATTTTGTTCTGCTGTGGGCAATGAAGGATCAACTTGGTCTTATTTTCAGATGATTGCCATGTTGGTAATGTCAGGTGCATCTTCGTTTAATAATCAAGAAAGAAACCACTCAACTCCATGTTTCAGAATTAAGTGTACTTTTACTAATTACAAACGAAAGCAATAGATAGCATGTATGATTCAATCCCCTCCCCTTGCCACCCCAGTTCATAGTCCAATAATAATTCACCCAACCGTCAGGTGGGAGATGTCTTCAAAAATCATCATCAGGTTGGAATGCTGGACAGTTAGCCTCGGCGGAAACTCCCTTCTTCCACATGCGCAGAGAGATGGTCAGAATAACTCCTAATAACAATCCTCCAGTACATAATGATTCCCCTCCCAAATACCATGCCCCCCCTCCCCGTTTCAATGGCAGCCGAAAAGCAGCAGCGAAGCAGAGGCTGACAGGTAAGTCCAAAGTAAGCCCTTTGTGCAGCTTCTAGAGCTGTACATAATTTTTTTAAAAAGCAAAAGCTACACTAAGTTTAGAAAGGAGCCCTGGTGTGATTAGAATGCAGTATTGCAAGCTAACTCTGCCTACAGCCCGGAGTTTGATCCTGACAGGCTCAAGATTGACTCAGCCTTCCATCCTTCTGAGGTTGGTAAAATGAGGACCCAGATTGTTGGCAGCAATATGTTGATATTCGTAAACTGCCCACAGAGTGCTGTAAAGCACTGGAGCGATATATAAGTCTTAGTGCTATTGCCATTCCAGACTATGAATGCAATTTTTTTTCCAACATTTTGTAGCGTTTGGGGGGGGGGGGAGCAAATCTACTATGCAGTTTTGTTAGCAAGTACTATATCTTGTATATACTGAAACAGCCACTCCACTTGATTTTAGAAAAGTGTGTGTTTCCATGTAAATTTTTTTTTTTTTGTCCCTACAAATTTTCCCAGCAGTTGTATATGCCATTCTTCTTGACCATGACTTGGTATTAATAGAACCCCAAATTTTCCACTTTTTGATCAGAGTTTGAACAGTATTGATAAGCATTTTCAAATCTTTGAGCATCTTTTTATATCCTTTACTGGTTTTTATAAAACTGAACTACAGTATTTTTTGCTTGCCGATCCTTTGTAAATTCTTTTGCTTTCCCCCTGCTTCAGTAACCAGCAAAGCCAATGTATCATTTCTCAAGAGCTAATAAACTCACTATTTATACACAGACATAAATACAACCGAAGAAGACACAGGTGTTTTTAGCTTCATTGCCATCTCAACAAGTATATGATAAATTTCGACTATATTATAAGCCCAAATATGGGGTATTGAAACTTTTGAACCAAATCATTTTATTTATTTTATTGGGTTTACTGAATGATTGTCTTATTCTGCAATACCTAGAAGTTTAATTTGAATCACATAAATTTAAAGTGTTTTGTATGATCACTTGTGTACTTTACTTACAAAATGTTCCACTTCTTACAAATTCCGCAAGGAATATGTAAACTTATGAGCAGAACCATATATGGTTGTGATAAATATTTTTTTAATTAAATATAAAATTATATTTTAATGAAATCAGTCGGGTATAATCTATATATAACTCATAAATGTCAAGTAGTATCAGGTCTTCAGTTTATCTCTTCAGCATTAAAGCCCCTAGACTTAGCAATACGAAAAACCCATGGAATCCATTTCCTTATACAAAATCAAATCGATAAACTTGTATAATGTGCCAACTCTTGGATCTCAGCCGCAAGGCAATTGCAGCCAACCCTCCACAAACATTCTCTGTTGTCTAATATATACACAACACATTTTATTTATTATAATAAAAGGTAAAGGTTTCCCTCGCACATATGTGCTAGTNGCAAAAATGGGATGCGGGGCGGGGCTTCAGGAGGCCAAAAATGGCTGTATTCAGTGTATAAGACACACCAACATTTCCATGCTCTTTGGGGGGGGGGGGGAAAGGTGCATCATACTCCGAAAAATATGGTATACCTAGAAGATTTCTAAGCAGCCATACCAAGCCTCTCAGTGGCTGTACCTAAGTGTGCTTCCTAACACCAAAGGCAGCTTCTATTATTATTTTTGAAGTTCCTCATCCCTAAAGCTGCACAACCTTACTGCGTGTTCATTTCAACAAATGCAAGTAACCTACCTGGCGTTTCTCCCCTTCATTTCTTTCCAACTCTGTGTGCTGAAGACGCTGAAGACACTCCACCCTTTCTGCTGACAGTCTCTCTGCCATTAATTTGTCTAAAACACGGAGCTGGGATGGGACCAAAAGGTTCATTCAGAAATGGTATCACTGCAATCATGTACTACCGCTTATACGTCAAGCAATTAGATCGATAAATCTGAAAAGGGCACTGTCAATAAAGTGATGTGAGTAAAAGGAGTTATTTCAGTAAGAAAATACTTCCAATTTATTTTAGCTACCGATGTGCCCACAATGTTAATAAAAATAAGAATGCATTTGTTTTCTTTCAATAATTTCAATTCAATAATTGAGGATATCTATTATCTGTCTACTACAGATAGTATGCCTTACACAGGGACATGCATTCTTATATATATCTAGGTTTTACACATCATGCTAAGCCAGAATATAATTTCTTTTTTAGCCCATATGTGTAAATCCAGCTAGTTTGGTTTATTCAATAAACTTTGTTTAAAACGTAGCTTATCATAGGTATGAACTGGACCGCTTTATTTACAAGTCTTATACTGGTAGTCTTCATTTAACAACCACAATTGGGATTGACAACTCGGCCACTAAGATTTCTCGCTAAGCGAAGCACTCACTAAGGGAAAAAATGTGATCATAACTATGTTTTCCTTTCTTCGTCCCTCCCTTATCCAGTCTTTGGAATGGTCACCTGGGCACCAGCTCAAAACTGATAAGACAATCTGACCAATTTCATACCTTCGCTTTTGCCTGGCCCTTTGGATTGCAGTGGCCTTCCAGAACTAGCAAAATTTGGTTTCTTCAGAAGGACTTTGGGAGCATAATGTATGTGTACTTGTGTACTTACATTCATTATAAAGGAAGGGATTTCCATAGAGTGAGCAAACACACAATGGAGAATATATATTGAAAATGATGCACTGGGGTGGCAGCTGCGAGTGCACTTTATAAAGACCCCGATGCATTCCTCATTGTGTGCCTGCTTATTCCAGAGGTCTTTAAACTTGGCAACTTTAAGACCTGTGGACTTCAATTCCCAGATTGGCTGGCTGGAGAATTCTGGGAATTAAAGTCCACAAGTCTTAAAGTTCCAGGTTTGGGGACCTCTGGCTTAATCTCTTGCAATCTCCTCCTCTACAATCTCTCCACTCTAAAAGGGAAAGGGGGGAAAACCCCAACTGATCAGCATAACACCGATTATGTGATCAAGGGATACTGCAAAGGATACAAGGGTGGGTATTGGTTTCTGAAGCTCTGTACTGTTGTAACTTCCAATGGTTGTTATATGATGCACTTGGTAAGCAATGGCTACCTGTATTGGTTTGGCTTTCATGTCCAATATCAGTTGGGTAGTATTGGGCTTCAGGGTTTGGTGGCTATGGCTTTAACATCAGGAAATCGGTTGCCTAGACTAGGATCAGCATCCTCTGAAGCCCGTGCTGTGTAATAATGACAGCTTTAAGACAGGGATGTCAAACTGGTGGCCCAGCGGCCGGCTGCGTCATGCGCAGGCCCCACCCTCCCCAAGTTCGCAAAGGGGAAAACATCGTGAAATGTCACGTGACGGCAACATAACGCAGCACATTTGACACCTGTGCTTTAAGATGTAAGATAGGAAGATAAAACATTGGCTGGTCTACAGCTCATGCTTCCTAAGCGAAGACAGCAGAAAATAATGTCCACATTGTACTAAAACAGCTTTGCTATCATATCATATAATGTGTTTCACACAGTGATAATAGGCAGTTAACTAGTGAATTCTGCTGCATCTATTTTCCTCATAAACCACACTTTTTGAGACACATTGCATCCAGAAGTGGTATTCAGCAGGTTCTGACAGTTCTGGAGAACCGGTAGTGGAAATTAGTTCGGAGAACCAGTAAATACCACCTCTGACTGGCCCCATCCCTATCTATTCTCTGCCTTCCAAGTCTCAGCTGATCGGGAAAAAATGGGGATTTTGCCGTATCCTTCTCCTCGAGTAGGTGGGAATGGAGATTTTACATTATCCTTCCCCTGCCACACCCACCAAGCTATACTCCACCCACCAAGCCACGCCCACAGAACCGGTATTGAATCCCACCACTGATTGCATCCCTTAATTCTTCCTTACCTGATGTTGTGTTTTATTTTCCATCTGTCCTAATTTGCTGTTCATCTTATCTTGCACTGCTACTAACTCAGCTTTTATTTCTTCCATAGCAGCTACCAGCTGGTTCTCTACTTTATGTATTAGTGGCTCACAACGACATCCATTTATAGGTGCCTACCGGAAATGACCACATACACATGTATATAAGCATCTTTCTCTGGACAAACATACTTTGCTAATATAGCAAAAACAACCATAGGATTGTCCGGATAGCACCGGATTAGAGCCTCCTGGAAGCCAATTAATGGGAAAAAGGAAACATACCCAATAGGTTTAAAAATAAATTTGGCCTATAATTCCCAGCCAACATGATTTCCAAATTTATATTTTACATTTATGGCATTAATAACACAAGAAATAAAAAACAACATGGAACAGTGGTACGATTAAGTTTGTGAACCCTTTGGAACTGAACCATTTCTTCATGTTTCTTCTGTTTTGGATGCATTATTCTTAGGATAATTTTTTGTTGGATAACCACTCCTAGAAGAAATGGCATTTGTTTTGCATGTTCCTCATTTGTACGTTGTCTGCAATGGTTTTGTGTCTTTGTGAATATTGACAGCCGTTTTTGTGAGGTCCGTGACATGAGATGCAGAATCAATTACTGTATTTATTTATTTTTAGTATAAAACACTCCAAAGTATAAAACATACCTAGCTTTTGGGGAGGAAAACGAAGGGGGGAAAATCTGCCTCTGTCTCCCAGCAATTTTCCTCCTTGCAGCAAACAGCAAAGAAGATATACACTGTTTGTGGTATTACATCTCAGAGTATATTTGTACAGATGCTGTTAAAATTGATATGGCTTTCTAAAAGTATACATCATTCCCTGCTATTTAAAATAAGAGACAATAGCACTGGGCCTCTTCAGATCAAGCATTTATTTTAAAAAGCTTCTTCATTTTGTTAAGTTGTCTAAAACAATAATAAAGCAGTCTTTAAAAACTAAGTCTAATAATTTGAACGTTCTATAGGCATTTATAGTTATTGACTTACCTCCTTGCACCAAACAGCAAAGAGCCTGTTTCAATTTAGCCTGATTAGAAGAAGAAAAAATCTGCCTCTGCCTCCCAGCAATTTTCCTCCTTGCAGCAAATAGAAACTTTCACTTTCAATTTCAGTTTCAGCACCGGCCTCCCAATGATCAGCTGTTTCAAGCTGCAGGGATTGCCATATAGCCTATTGCCGCCTCCGCATTTTCTCCGGTTCAAGGAGGTAAATTGCTCAGAGGCAGAGACCAAAGGTGGGGGCCAGTGGGTGGGTGGGGCTTATACACATTCAGTGTATAAGACGCACCCAAATTTACACCCTTTTTTAGGGGGGGAAGGGTGCATCTTATACTTCGAAAAATACCGTAATCAGTGGAAACAACTTTCCTCCAGAAGTTGTAAATGCTCCAACAATGGAAATTTTTAGGAGGAGATTGGACAACCATTTGTCTGAAATGGTGTAGGGTTTCATGCCTGAGCAGGGGGTTGGACTAGAAGACCTCCAAGATCCCTTCCAACTCTGTTATTCTGTAGTCAACATGCATTAGTTTTTGTAGGGGAAGAACCCTGAGACTCATATTTGATGGTCAGCTCATTGATTGGAACACCTGACTGAATTATTCCCTTAAGTATATGTGTTATTGGGGGGGATTCATATAACTATTTATAGCAAAGCTACTGAAACATGACACTGAAATACTTTTATGGCATCATCTTTATGAATCTCTTTATTTATTAAAAGGACTCAGATGAACATCAGATGACATCGTAGACCACAGTTCTGCAAGATTATGAATAGTTCTACAGAGTTCACATCTTTCTCTCACCTCTGGTATTGTTTTGAAGATGCAAAAGTACAGCTAACCATTTAAATAATTCCTTTGATATAAAAGTGTAAAAATGAATTTGTTTTAGAAATACATGATATATATGACACAATATCTATGTACTTCATTGTGATCTAGCCCTGATGTTGCTTCTAGACCTAGAAGGTGAAATCCATGCATTTGTAAGTACTGGCCTATGCCTTATTTATAGGGGGCCAACAAAACTGTTCTTTTACCTTCAAAAAACAAGAATCTTAAAAAAAAAAAAAGACCTAGAACCAAAAAGTATTAAAGGAATTCTTACTGGGATTACACAGACCTACGTATGTTGCTTACTTACTTAATCATTCAAAAGTTCTGCCTCCAATCAAAATTAAAAAGTAGATTCCAAAATAAGTATCCTCAGTTTCTAATTCTTACGGAAGCATTGTGGGGCTTCAAGGTTGACTCAGCCTTCCATCCTTCTGATGTCATAAAATGAGGACCCAGATTGTTGGAGGCAATATGCTGACTCTGTTAACCGCTTAGAGAGGGCTGTAAAGCCCTGTGAAGCAGTATATAAGTCTAAGTGCTATTGCTATTGTGCTTGCACAATAATTCTGAAATAATTCAGAAAGCTAAATAATTCAATCATGAAGGCACATTCATATTCCCCTGATCAAGCCATCTTCTTAAAGCACAAATTTAATGATTCTTATGAGTTACAGAACTTCCTTGAAAACCTTGTACTCCTTCACTATCCCAAAGCAATACTCTGCTTCTAGATTTATACCTGCATGATTTTCCCATTCTTTCCACGGTACAGAGTATATAATTGATAGGCCCTGAATTCATGGGGTGGTGGTGGAGACGAACAGCGATGCTTGCTTCTGCGTTTTGTCGGGTTTGGCTGTGGACCAGGAGGTATCTGCTGATCCACTGGGGGCAAAGGATCAGAAAGTGCCAATACCTAATTTTTAAGGAAAGGAAGAAACAGCATTTTTATCAGAAAACAAAGAATTGGTCTCTTTAAAAAAAAAACTTTTTACTTTGTTAGCTAAATTTTGAGACATTCCTTGCTCATCATGATCTCAGTTAGACTCCCAGAAGGAGTCTAACAAAACAGAAAATATATATTTGGTCTGAATCTGGAATTCAGCAGAAACTAAACCCAGAATGTTTTGGTGATCCTGGATTCCAGATGAAGTTATTTTTAAGACAATATATCCTACCACCATCTGATTCCTGAGTTTCTTATGGTTCCTTTCCTTCAATTTCCATCTCAGCGTGAAATCTCCCATCAACCCACCTGATCCCTTCATCTTCACCAGAATCTTCCCTTCCTTCTTCCTCTCCAGCTTCTCTGTCACTACCACTAATGTTCTTGGCTTTTTCCCATTCCTGCAGTCACAAACACACCTGCCAAGCTATTTCTGCCTAGAACAAATTTCATTTTCAGCATGAAACAAAACAGCTCTGCTTTGTTCTTTGAATGGAACAAAATTTCCAAATTATATGTGACTTAATTTGGAGCTGGATCACCTCAAATACCAACTACATTTGCACAACCCTAATTAACAGCCTGCATCCAAATTTATGTATCCTGTGTTTCCAATGAAGCTAAAAGTAACACATAGAATATTATTTATTATTCTTCCTAATATTGTCCATAATAGGTGCAATATTTCCATGATATTGATTTATCGTAATGAAGAGGCAAGGCTGATGTATATCAAGTTCTCCTTCCTTCCTTCCTTCCTTCCTTCCTTCCTTCCTTCCTTCCTTCCTTCCTTCCTTCCTTNAAGTAAAATTACTTCCCTACTTTATAAATCACCATTACTGTGGAACCGGTGGGCGGTTAAAAATTTTTATTACTAACAGAGATACAAAAGTGGGCGATAGGTAGAAAAAGGTTGACTACCCTTGGTTTAGATATTAGTTCACACTAAATAAAAATAACATAATACTATAAAATGCTCGAACTTAAAAAAATGTTTAATATGTAATAAAACAGTTTATTATAAAATAATAAAACTTTAAAGAATTCACAAATGGCAAAGGGACTGAAAAACAAGAATAGACATTCAATCACTCCTTCCCAGCAGTGCATCTGAGGGGCACTGGTAGGTAACAAAGACATTCTACCCAGAATTAGTATCACAACTAGCACTATTTAGAGCTAAAACAACATTTTGTCCCTCAACAAAGTGTTGGCTTAGGAAAACTGGTTTCCTTGAATAATTTCATGGATACTTCCTCATCTTTAAAGGCGTAAGTTCAATATGAGTGAAATAGTTCTTAAGTGTCTCCTGCCCTAATTTTTTTTTCAGTTGAGTTTGCGTCCTTTTTTTGAGCTATGCAAGGGCTAGTTTTCCTTCTGCGCTTTAGTCCTTAGCTTCTGCAGTTCCTCTTCTAAACTTTTAATGTGTTCTTTAAGGGCCGTTTTATCTTCCTGAGCTTTCTGATCAGCTTGGCTTCGAGCTTCTTCTATCTTTCTCTCGTACCACTTCTCCATCTGACTTGACACAGCCTCAAAGAAGTACTGGGTAATTTCCAAAGCTTGAGATGTACCTGCCAGCGGAGGACTGCCCTCTTTTCCTTCAGAGGCAGAAGGTGGGGGCTGCCCAGATGGAGCTTCCCCGGGTTGGTGGGTCCTGTGCTTCAGCTGACCGCTTTTACTTGGTTTCTTGGTTTGAGTCCCTTTGTCGATCAAGCAGCCGCTCTGTGATTCTGCCTTGGTACATTCAGGGGAGGCCTGCAAAACAGTTTGTACTTTCGCATGCCTCAGTCTGGAAACTGAGTGTTCCACAGCTGGCAGTTCTTGCTGCAATCTGTTGAAACTTGCTTTATCCTTTGGCCTAACCACTTGGGGAGATGCGGCAGGAGGAGGAAGGACAGCGCCACCCACTAACTGTTGCTCTGTTCCTGTAAACGGAAAGATAACAAATAATTACAAGGGCTTGGCGTTGAGGAAGCTTCAGAAAAGTCCAGGCCAAGCAGGAGAATGGGAATCATAGCCCCAATGTAGGATGGCAATGGATAAGATGGAACTTCCTTAACGCAGTTTTGGCCCAAGGTTATTCTAAGTCCCTATGTCTTATTAAAGGTAATTGGAATAATGTTTGAAATCTCTTCCTAGAAGAATGAAGTATTTTGAGAAATATTAAAAAGGCAGAAAATTATATTTCCCTAAAGGAGAAACATGCTCTCAGAAAGCAGCTCCCACCTTTCTTAATAGCCCCAAAAGGACTGGACCAGCCTATCTACAAGACAAAATAACTTCATTTCCAGGGTGATGGGATTAAGATATGGCCCTTCAGGATATAATAGGACCATTTAGCAGAAGACACAGATCTCACTGCATTGCACAATCTCCAAAGGGACATTGCATCACTCAGCAAAACTTCAACCAAACCTGGGAGCTCAGACAAACATGACCCCATAGGAATCTGACAACAGCCAATAGAATACACAGGAACAGGAAGTTCGAGTTCAAAGCCCAAGAAAAGGTATAACCCCCCCCCCCCAAAAAAACCCTAAACTCCATGTGTTCAGCTGCACCAGAGAACCATGTGCTTGGTGGTTCTGCTTCATCATTAAACCTTTCTTTCTAATCAGCCTCCATGTTTCCAGTGCCTGCCTCCCAGCTTGGAACTGAACCAAATGGTTATTTCTTCCAACATGACAAATGAGGTCCTAGGAGACTGGTGACATGTTTAATTGCTTGCTTGCTTGAATATTTATGCATGCAATTTATAGCCTGCTTGACAGCCAATGACATTGAGCAGCTTATAATTTTTTAAGAAATTAACACCTGCAACATTAGAATTGCAGAATAATGGCCAAGGCATGAAATTATTGTGAACTCCTGCTCTTAACAGTAGCACAGTTTGTCTTTTATGGTGGTGAAGAAGGCTTTAATCATACAGGGTGAAAAGAAGCAAGCTGCCTAGTATCAAAAAAATAAAAAATAAATAGAGACTGAAATTTAGATTGACACCACAGATTTCAGTGCAGCAGCTTAGCATAGATATCCGACTGAAAATTGCTGAAATAGGAAAACAAAAATACCTGATGTGCTGTCTTGCTGAATCACAAAATACTGTTTTCCAAAGCTCTGCTCTGTGACTGGCATTCTACTCCGTTCTGTTCCTTCTGAGATGCTCACAATGCCAGAATGATGATGGGACCCATTTGATTGTGGTGGCGATTGGCTGGTTTTACACTCATTTGTAGTGTGAAGGTTTTCTGTATCCAAAGTCTCAGAGAGAGACACAGATGTGGACAGAGTGGATTTTGGCCTCGAAGATCTAGAATCTCCAGAGAGCTTCATTTCTAGATTCTGAATTTTTAGCAGGCACCAAGCTTTCAATTCACCCACCAGAGAAAGCTGTGAAAAGAATCCACACATCTTATCAGAGTGCATCAAATGATACCTCTCAATTCTCAGGCACCCTTATGTTTGTGTACTGATGTACACAATTTTGAATCAAAAATATTTGCTGAAATATTCAACAAAATCAACCATTTCAACCTATAACAATTTAGTTACATCGACTACAAAAGAGTCCACAGAATTCTGCAATTAGTTATGTGGTAAGGAGAAGTCCTCAAAATTCTGGGTTGGGGAAGGAGAGCAGACCCCTCAACCTGCTGCCAAAATGGTGTCTGCTCCCAGGACGGAGCCATGGAGCCTTTAGGGAGGTAAAGGGGCATAATAGGTTTGCTCTCCTTTCCCAGGGGCTCTCCAGAGCTTTCCGGAGAGTTACAGAAGATGAGGGAATGGGACAAGTTGCCACAGCCAACTCACGGCACAACCAACTCACCATGGGCAACTTGGCACAGGACAACTTGCTATGGCCAACTCACTGTGAGACAACTCATAACAATTCTATTTAATTATTTCAAATAAAACTTATTTTAATTTTTGCCATTCACATTTCATTCTGTCCCTCCTTTTGCATCCTTTCTTTAATAATTCTATTCCATCATTTCTTTGATATTAGTGTAACTCTTGTCCTGCAGCGAGTTGGCCATGGCAAGCTGGCCATGTTGAGTTGGCCGTGGTGAATTGTCATAGGGAGGAAGATGGGGGACCTTGTGGGTGGAAAAGCAGGCCAAAGACTTGCAGGGATCCTAAGAGGCAAGAAGCAGAGCATAGGATGGCTTGGGATGGGGGACTTTTGAGAGGCCTGAGATCCTCCCCTGAGCCTCCTAGGACTTCTCCCACCCCAAAGCATTCCATGCTCTGCTTACAACTGCATTGGGAAGAGCAGGGCTAGGGTCATTAAGCAAGGTGATCTTGTGGGAAACTCGCTTAATGACTATAACGACTTGTGATCATAATAGGCAGGTTTCATTACTGTTTTAAGTCAAGGACTACCTTTAGAAGACAAGTGTACTCCATCCCTAAGAATCAAGAAGATAATGCATTTTAATAAAATGCCTGATGATAACTATAAATTTTCAACAGCAAGGAGACAAGACATACTGACAAAAATTATCAAAAATTATGTTGAAATACCTTGATATCAGCAATCTAATTTAACTCTGAATACTTGGAATAAAATCTTTTCCTTTTAAAAATTTGGAATTCCTTTCATTATTTCACATAGGCACTATTAATAAATCGCTTGTCATTTCACGTAATTGATGTCACAAATAATTTGCAAAATGGACCCTGCTTCTGGAGCACAAATCTATTGCTGCTACTTGGAGGCTCACAAAATTGTTTCAAAACCCTTGAAAGTTTTCCCAGGAAATAATCTTCCGTGTATTACATACCGTATTTTTCAGTGTATAAGACGCACCATGATTTTGAAGAGGTAAGTAAGAAAAGAAAGTTTTTGTCCTCCCCGGCCCCCAGGAGCACTCTGCAGGCTGGGCTGGAGAAGGCAAAAAACGCCCCCGTTTTTGCAAAAAAACAGGCAGAAAACGGGCCATTTTTTGCAAAAACCGAGGCGTTTTTGGCCTTCTCCAGCCCAGCCTGCAGAGTGCTCCTGGGGGCCGGGGAGGACAAAAACTTTCTTTTCTTACTTACCTCTTCAAAATC